CAAAGACATACTTTTCTTCCTTATTCTCATTTAAAATGTCTCGCTTTTAACAAATAATTATCTGAATCTTACAACAAACATTTTCATGTGATGTAAAATGTATAGAAATTATTCATTATCATTATTGTACATAGTAATTTTTTTTTCAGGGTCCCATCATAATTTTGTCAGACGTAAGTACTATATATGATGCCAGTATTTACCCACATTTGCTAGATTCTGTATCAGTACTGTGTGTAAAATGCCATCAAAAAGTCAATTAAGTTTTATTCTTTCTCACCTGTCTTTCTGTCTCCTTTCACTTTTTAAAGGTGTTAAAGGTGTTAGAAAAAATATTTTGCCCTACCATGCTGTTTATTGATGTGGTAAATGAAGAGTTTATGAAAATATCTCTAAATTTGTCATTTATAATTTTTAATATTCGGTAATGATCATGTCTCACCTCTAGTCTTCTCTGTCTGTACTGTTTAGAATACCAGAATAGGGAGGATGGTGTAGGTTTAAGTTTATTAGATACATATATACCAACAAGACAGTGTACATCACTGTCACAACAGCGTTTGTTTTCATTCAAAGGCTTTATGGTTTTTCCTATAATATCTGGTGGGCCGGTCAATAGTCAAAATGCCCGGGCCAATTTTTTGTCCCAGTCCAGCCCTGTGCACGGTCATACTCTCTCCCGCACCCGTTATATTATCTGTTGATCTGCACACAGCTGTTGCCATGAACGTCGCACTCACTTACGTCATTATCATGAGACACTCTCGCAAAAAAAAACATGGTTTAGTAACGCAACGTGCTTACGGGAAAGTAACAGTAATCTAATTACCTTTTTTGCAATAGTAATCCCTTACTTTACTCGTTACTTGAAAAAAGTAATCGGATTACAGTAACGTGTTACTTGTAACGTAATGCGTTACTTGTAACGCGTCACTGCCCATCTCTGGATAATTTTCATTATCATCATCATCATATCTTAAGACTTCTTACTTTTGCTCTGGCTCTCAGTCCATCAAGGTCAAGGAACAGCTTCTGAAAAAAATATACTTCAGGTCTTTGCAATAGCTCAGACTGACAGCACAGCACCTTGGGATATCCTGTTAGATCAAGGTTTGTATAGTTCACCAACAATGGCAATTTTCATCACCTGCTTTTCAAGTTTGGCCTCAAATTGCTCTGTGTCCTTATAAAAAACATTTTAAAAATTAGGTTGGCGGTTTATAGGTAGGGATGGGTATTGATAAGATTTTCACGATTCCGATTCCATTTTCGATTCTGTTTAACGATTCGATTCTTTATCGATTCTCTTATCGATTTTTTTTTTTTT